AAATTTTAATACACCAATAATTTAAAATTTTAATTGTTGATTTTAAAAAATTCCAACATGTAATTAGAAATTCAAGGCATTTATTGGACGGCCCATGTGAATATATATACAAATAAGTCTACCACAACACATTTAAAAGATAAGAGGTGGCTTATGCTCCTACAAGTAATATGTTTGAAAATCATCACTCTGTCCTCATGACAAGCAAAAGTTTAATATATGAAAGCCTACAACTCTTTTAAAATCCATCAGAAAATTGAATTCATAGGAAAGTTTACCACCCTGACACACTGGAGAGACAGGAAAATACAGAGAATTACAGCTACTGAAAGCAAAAGTCATTGAGTCATTAATTTATGGGAATAACTAAATCATACTTAACAAATTGCTCATTGTGAACTACATTAAAAATGACTGGGGTCTAACCAAAAAGGGACCAAACACATTCTTGAGCTTCACCTTAAGGAACCCAGTTTTGTTATGTGCAGATGAGGGCAAAATCTTATACTTCCAACATGAAGAAGGAAAGAATAGCCATTTTGAAATATACCACAGAGAAAACTAATAATTTTAATAGTGTCTTCCTCACTTTTCCATTGCTAGGATATAATTTCTGACACCCACACTTGAACAGAGGAGAAGATCATTTTGCTCACAGTTTCAAAAGTCTTAGTCCATAGTGGAAGGCCCAGACATAGAGGAAAACTGCTCACATCATGGTGGTCAGGAAGCACAGAGGGAAGGGAGGAGCCAGGAAGGAAAACAGATCATTCTCCCAGTCACCTGCTTCCAGGCAGTCCCTAGTTCCTAACAGCATGTCATCAATAGTGCAGACACACAACAATCATGTTTCAAAAGTCCTGAGTATGAATTCATGACAGCTTTGGGGAGATAATCTAGGTCCAAACCATAATATGCTGTCCCTTGCCCCTCAAATAATCATGCACATCTCTTTATGAAAAAAAAAATGCATTTAGTCAATCTCTAAGAATTGTCAAAGTTTGGACAATTCCAACACTGCTGAAAAGTCCCACCCCAAAGTCTCCCCTGAGACTCAAAACAATTGCTTAGCTGTGAGCACCTATGAAAATCAAAAAGAAAGTTAAACACTTCCAGTACACAATGACATGGGGTAAACATTTCCATTTTAAAAGGCAAGATAGAAAGGAATAGGACCAAAGTGAGAAAAAACACAGCAGGCCAAACACTAAATCCTGTATCACTATATCCAGAACCTGGGGAAAATTAGGGCAAGATGTGAGCTCCAAAGGGCTCAGCAGTTCTGCTTCTATGCCATTGCCAGTTGCTGCCCTTATGGCTTCTCTTTTGAGCTTCCATCCCTCAATGCTTGCAGCTTTCCTCAGCAGAATTATAGATTCCTGTCATCCCCAAATTCCCAGGATCTCCACTGTATTCTGGCTTCAGGTTCATGCTCTTCCCTATCATGGATGCACTCCTTGGCCTCCCAGGCCTTCCTTTGAAATCTGGGTGGAAACCTTGCTGACCCCACAACTTTTGCATTCTACATTTCCATAATACCACCACCACAATGATAACACCAAGTTCTACCACCAGCGTGAGCACTAGCTTGGCCCCCTTGAATTATAGCTGAAAAGGCCACTGAGTGCCTTGATATCTGAGTGCTATGAACTTAATTCTGAGCTACCAATCTCTAGGCAGCCCTTCTTGAGCAGACTGTCTTAGGCTCTTTTGTTCAAAGCAAAGAATTCAAAGGCATTTACCTTTACCCTTTACAGACTTGAGCCAGTGAAGGATGAAGTTTAATAATTCCTGAGATGCCTTCAAAATATCTTTCCTTTTGTCCTGATGCAAATTATTTGTTTTCTCTTTAATCCTAATTTTTTAACAACCATGGTCTTCTTTGCCCTATCTTTTCAGATGTTTTCTTTTCACAAAACTCCAAACTTCTCTAATAGCCAAAATTATCCATGCCACAGCTTTAATGTTGGTCTGGCTTGTGATATTCTCAGTGAGATTAACTAGGCCATTGGCCTAATAAGTCATCTACACTTCATCTCCCACAAAGTCTCAGGTCTTGTGTAAAACATTCACAAATTATCTGCTAGACATAACACACATGGCCTCTGGTCTAACTTTCAGTGCAATTCTTGGCCCAGCTGAAACCTCTTGGGCCTGGACTTTACCATCTGCATTCGTATTAGCATTATGGTTCTGAAATCTAGCCAGTATTGTCCATCAATCTCTGTTTGCAACATACTAGAGCTTCTCTACTCAACATTTCCAAACCTACTTGATCATCTTCCAAAGTGTTCTAAACAATAGGATCAAGTGGTCATACTAATGACTCCATTGTTGGTATCAAATATGTTTTAGTCACTTTCCTCTTGTTGGAACACAATATCTGACATCTAAATCTTAAAGGGGAAATTTATTTTTGGTCAGTTTCAGAAGTTTCAATATATTGTTGGCAGGCTGAAATACAAAAATTGCATGGCAGAATGTCCTGATATAAAGGAAAGCAGTTTACATCATGGTTGTAGGAAGCAGAAAGAGAAGGGAGAGCCCAGGGAGTGAGACACACTCTTCCAGATCATGTCCCCAGTGATCCAACTCCAATAAGGCTCTACCTCTTAGTAGCAAGCAAGCTACATGTGCTGCTATGATGTAATCACCTTCAAAATCCCACCTCTGAACAACTAATAGTTTGAGAGGGGATAATCTAAATCCAAACCATAACAAATAAATTTCTACAGTGCTGTGTGTCCATTAAGTTCTGCCTTTAAAGGAAATGCCATGGTCTTTTCTTCCTGGGGAAAGAGTAAATAGACAAATGCAGCCTTCTGTTTGCATCAGGTGTTTGTTTATTTGTTTGTTTGGAATCTTTTTTCAAGGATAAGAAATTCACCTGAAAGTCACAGCCCAAAATTCTGTACTTGAAAATCATGGAAATGTAGCTAGGAGATGATAAAATATAGTGAATCATCAAAATTTTATTTCAGTAGTAACAGGATTTACAGCAGAACATCAGTAAATTACAACTAGAGAATTAAAGGGAGCAGATTCTATTCAAAGATGAGATGATAGGGAAGCAAAAAAATAGCTGGGGAAAAATAATAAGCACATTAGAAAAAACTGAGCCATTAGCATGCATGTTTAAAGCAAAAACTTGCTAAAGCCTAAACTCCTAGCCAGATAAACACAAAATGTAACACTAAATTTTCACAACATTGCAAGATTCAAACCATAACAGATAAATGCCCAGATTGTTCTCTTTTCACCCCAAAATTGTAAGGCATATTTAAAGATGAGAAAACCCCAGGCTGAATAGCCAAAATCAACAACATAACTAGACTCAAGTATGGTAGATATTTTGGAATTATCACAAGAGTTTAACATAACTATGATTGATATGCTAAAAGATCTAATGGAATGAGTAGGTAGCATACATGAATAGAGGCTAATAAAGGTAGAGAGATCAGAATTCTTAAAAAGAATCCACAGGAAATAATGAAAATCAAAAACACTATGACAAAAAAGAATGGTTTCATTGGTAGACAAGCAACAGCCAAGAAAGATTCAGTGAGCTTGCATCAACAGAAGCTTCCCAAAAAGAAAGAAGGAAAGGAGATTTCTTTTTAGGAACAGAATACTGAAGAGCTATTGGACAACTCTAAAATTATAACATACTATGAAAAGAATAGCACAAGTAGGAAAAAGAAAAGAAATTATCTGAATTAATTGCTGAATTTTTTCAAAGTTTATATCATACAATCCATAGATCTAAAGTATTCAGAAAACATCATGCAGAATAAATGTTACAAGAAAAAATTATACACTTAAGAATACCCTACAAACAATATATGAAAGCAAAGTTGAAAAGTCTTAACAGAAGCAGAGTAAAAAGTGCCTATGAAAAACCAAAACAAGAATTATTTTCCCTTCAAAAAAGGGCAAGCAAAAGGAGATGAAATGGAACCTTAAATGTCTAAAAGGGGAAAAATGTTCAAGAATTCTACTTCTAGAAAAATTGTTTATCAAAAGTGATAAAAAATAAAGAATTGCTTAGACTCATGTGACTTGCAAGAAAGGTTAGAAGAAATTCTTCAAAGAAAAGGAAAATGATATAGGTTAAAAATGGATTTACATCAACAAAAGAATAATGCTTTAAGAATGAAGAAAAACTAGCACACCCTACTAAGGTCGGGAGTCTTGCAGAACATGCCCAATCAGCCTGCGCCCCAGCAACAATCAACCGGAAACCTCCCCCAACCCCACTCTTCTGTACTGCCACCTGGTTCCACACTACAGAGACTCAGAGGACACTGGACCACCAGACCACAGTACTGAGTCCCACCCCTCCAGGCCAAGAGGTAGGGCCTTCTGAGCCGCCATCCAACTGCTCCTGGTCCAGAGAAAGGGGTTTCCTGGCCACCATCCCTCCTGCTGCTCCCAGCCCAGAGGAAAGGGTTTTGGGGCCACCATCCCTACCACTGCTCCCAGCCCCTGTCCCACCTCTCCCATCTCAGAGGAGGTAATCCGTGCAGGTGCCAAGACCACCCCCCAAAATCAAAATGAGAAAACACATAAATAAGTCCCAAAACCAGACTTCCAGATCACCTACAGAAACCACAAAGGGAAATGAGATAGAACACTCTGATACTCAACCACCTGGACCCACTGAACTGGCAACAAAAGGGGATCTGGAAAAAATAAAATCAGAAATAATTTCTCAGATAACAGGAGAAATTGTGCTCCTAGTGCAAGACATGATTAATAAATCTAGAG